CGTCGGTGCTGGGGCCGCCAGACCGGCCCCTCTGCAGGGTGGCCGTGACCCCCTGCACGGTGGGGAGTGGGTGGGACCTGACTGGAGTGAAGGAAACCCCCATGTGTGTCCCCACCACCCCAGAGAGTCCTCCCCCACCTACCCCATCACCTGGATTGTCTCTCCCTGGCATGAGGTGGTCCCTGGGAAGGGAAGGTCTGTCAGGGAGGGGCTGGCAGGGTTTGGGGAGGGGGACATCCCCCAGACATAGTCAGGCAGGGATGGGCAGGGATGGGCAGGGTGCAGGCAGCCAGGCATTGGTAAGTAGAGGTGGGAGTGGGAGGCTGGAGCCCCTCCTGAAAGCAGGGAGTATGTTGGGGGTCCGTGCTAGTTCCCAGGGCCACCCAGGGAAGGGGCTGGGGGAGTTGAAGCTGTGCCTGGCACAGTGTGTGTGTGCCTGGGGGAGTCAAGGTGGTGGCAAAGGGGGAATTATCCCTGCTCTCAAGGCAACCCTTAGTCTTTTCTGGGCAGGGAGGGTCCCAAGGGGTTTCCTTGTGCAGTCGAAGTGAGTGCCTTGCAGGCGTGAGGGTGGCTGCCCCCCCACCCCCTTCCTGGGGTCTGTACTTCTGTCTGTGTGTCTGTCTGTCCGTGCCCATCCTGCACCCAGCCCCCCGTGCACGGGGGTCCCTCGGGGTGTGTGGCACAGGACCCTCTCTGATACCCTGTCCTGTCTTTATTAGCCACTGTACAACGGGGCTGTGATGCCAAATAAACCTGATGGGATCCAGTGCTGTGTCCGGGGTCTGTCCGGGGCCATGGGCTGGGGGAGGCGGTGGAGGGGCCGTGGAGGAGGGGGCCATGGAGGAGGGGTCCTGGTGGGAGTCCCGGAGGGGCTGTGAGCCCTCAGCGCAGCAGCCCCAGCACGGCCAGGGCAGCGCTCTGCCCGCAGACAAAGGCACCGCCCAGCACGGAGAGGACACCCCAGGCGATGAGAGCAGCCCTGTGGGGACACCAGCACAGGGCCACTGGGGCAGAGCTGACCCCAGGAATGGGCCACTCCCTGTGCCCCAGTCCCCCTGGGCGTGGGGCTCTCTGCAGGTCTTGCCCCCCACCGCTGCCAATCACACAGAAACTCACTTTTTGCGTGGTCCGAGGCTGCGGGTCCCAGTCAT